CCCCCCGCAGGGGGATGGGGGAGAAAATAAAAAAAAAAAAAGTAAAATTCATGGATTGAGATAAAGACAGTTTAATAGGACAGAAAAGGAAGGAATAATAATAATAATAATAATAATAATAATAATAATGATGGTAGAATATACAAAGCGAGTGATGCACAATGCAATTACTCACCACCCGCTGACTGATAACCAACTAGACCACGCCTCCTATTTGTATACTGAGCATGATGTCACATGGTATGGAATACCCCGTTAGCCAGTTGGGCTAGCTGTCTTGGCTGTGCTCCCTCCCAGGTTCTTGTGCACTTGGCAGAGCATGGAAAGTTGAAAAGTCCTTGACTAGCAGGGTACTTAGCAACAACTGAAAACATCAGTGTGTTATCAACATTCTCCTCATCCTAAATCCAAAACACAGCACTAGGAAGAAATTTAACCCTATCCCAGCCAAAACCAGGACAGGTAGTTAGAATTACTGCTCTCCTGTAGGTAGAGGAGACCTCTACTGTCCATCCTGTATGAAGGATTAAATCTTTTCCATCAAGCTGCATTAAAATCTTGAAGATTCAAAATCTGACATGTGCCAGAAAATGCTTTCCCACTCAGGAAAATTGACAAGTTTCTTTTTTCACTGGGATCATCATTTAGATGGGCATAAGTAAGTTTTTTTCATCACATTTGTTGAAAAACATCATTTATAACCTGAGCAAGAAGTAGCAATAACCGCAATATATCTTGTTGCCTAGGAAATGTAGGAAGTAATGGTTATTTGACTTTTTATGCTCTCACATGGAACCACAGGCAGTAATGTGTGCAAATGCAGTCATAAAGGACAATCATTATTAAAAAAAAAAAAGAAAACTCATGCATAAAAAGTGTATGTGCTTTTACAGAGACAGCTGCATGAGCTTACTTGAAAAACCACTTACTTTCCCAGCTAAAGTACATTCCAAGAGAAACGCATGTCCTGAAAAAGCTTCATAATACAATTAATCATTGAGGTGAAACTTTTTTGCAGTTCCTCTTGCCAGGCAAAGGAAAGGCAGAAGCGTGCATGGCAGAGTCCTGCCTTTCTTCTTCCATGAATCCCAGTGCGCTCACTGCACACTTAAATGCACTTAGTCACATTAATAAGAGCAAGCATTGAACATCGTGGACTGAAAATTCACATGCACATTGGGTCACCTGCAGGGCAGCTTCTAAATTTATCAGTTCACCAAACGAAGGAACAGCTGTGACCCTGCATATGCAAAACCTCAGGAGAGCTCTTGGGATCTAATGAATGCAAGGCCCCGTTGAAAACACACTCTCCACTGCAGAGCACCACTAAGACTTCTGTCCTTCTCCTTTTTCCAAGGTGACAGAGCAGTGGCTCAGGCAAGCATGCTTCATTTGCCACACGGGGAAACGGAGCTGGGGATGCAGCACTGCTTTGTAAACACAGAATGTGCCACTGAAACGAGGAACTGTGAGAAAAATTGACAGAGGAGAGAGTCTCCTGAGGAACAGGCAGCTCTGGAGGCAGTGATGTCATTGCAATAGCTGCGTCAGACTGACAGTGGCAGAGCGGTGTCTTCTACAAATCACACTGCTTCCCACAGAAGCACCCCTGCACCAACAGAAACTCCTGCTGCAGTGAGAGGTTCAGTCAGCAAAATATTGAAAGAATCCAACAACAAGAGAGAACGTTCTTTTACTTCCGTTCAACATCCCTCTGTCCTACAAGCTAAGCCCCTTGCTACTACAGAGACCCTACATTACTAATTCTTTCATGGATTTATAAAAATCCATCTTAAAAGCATTAAAGATATTTAGCATTTCACACAACTAGTTACAAGCCTATACTGACAAATGCCAGTATATATGCATTTTTCAAGGCAATCTGAGTATGCTTCTGATGTTTAAAGCATTTCAAATGATCTTGGAACACAAATACTCTATTTTAAATATTACCACAAATTCGTCAGAATTATTTGTTAATCTTATAGGTACTCTGCAAAAAGGCAATCCAGGCAAAGGCACGCAAATAAGGGGCAAAGAAGAAAATCAGAAAGGCAGTACAATAAAGTGTAAGGGAACAGAAATAAGAGAATATAAAAAGACACAGAATAAAGCACAGGCAATGAAATGCTGATTCTCAAAGTGACAAATGTAAAAAGAAGAGAATTGGTTAGATTTGTTCCTTAATTTTGCCCACCAGGAGAAATGCACGGTCATCTATAAACTTACCTGTGGCCAACAGACTACCAAATGGCCAGCAAACTAGTTTCAAGGCTTATCTAGACAGGGAATAATTTAATACAGGTATAGAACACACAAAAAGATTCTTATCTTGCAGTCCCTTTGTAGTAAGTACTTCTAAAATGGACCAATATGAGATTACACTCTGCTGTAATTGTGGGGTTTATCTCATTTAACAAATTCTAATTCAGATACTTGAGCAGCAGGAAAACTATCATGCCCAAAAGACTTTGTTTAAAATCTTTTATCAATCAATCCATTCTATGAAAAATCCAGGTATTTCACAGCTGGCTAACATATTTTTATTAAGATAAATAAAACACAGGGCAAACTTACAGGAAACAGATAAAAGGTTCCCATTTATTTGAAAGCAAGTTTCCTTGAAAGCGAATTACTTTTTAAAAGTACCTTACATGTCTATGGCACACATTATTTCTGACAATTAAAGATATATATAAACAAAACAGTTACTAGACCAAAACTTTGATGAGAATCATTTGGGAGACTAATACCTCAAATAAGTCACAGCAGCTTGTTATGAAACAGGATTAAGCACATAAGACAGGAGAGAGGGGAAAGTAAATGCAGCTGGGGATTTTGCCTTGTACTAAAAAAGCCTTTTCTCTATGTTCTTACCACAAGCACACTCAGGCAGAACTCCTGCAGTGGTTATGAACATTTATTTAAAAACTTGAAAAGGGAATACTCTCAAATAAGTATTACTTTTTTAAAGAGCCATATAAAAATGCAATACTAGATTAGCTCTTATTTAATCAAATAAATCGTAACTTATATTAGTCTATGTTTATAATTTTAGTTCCTCTTTTACTTCCTGCTATTACTGAAGGGAACAAGAAAGAAATCATACTAAATTACCTTGCATCTTTAAACTAACAGCTCCATGAATCTCATCTTCAGGGTTAATGATTTCCCATATTCCCTTATAAGACAACTTTCTAACTCTATTTATTTAGCTTGAAAGTATTTTTCATTTGACTTTTTGATTCAGCGTAGTAGCCTCGCAAATGACATATCACAAGTGCTTAACCACGGAGTGGCTTGAACATTTCGGTTTTTTGGGGACAAAGGTATAGGATGTTGGGGTTTTCCTGGTAACCAGGGTCACAATTTTTCAAAGTTCCACCCCTTGCAAACAGGAAGCAGTTTTTACTCAGACACATCATAACATCTTAATTTTGAAATCAAGGTTTAGCAAACACAACAGATGGGAGACCAGAAGACAAGTCTGACAACTCATTTTCTGGCATTTACCAGTCTTTCAAATTTTTTAAGTTCTGCAGCTGTGCAATTCTGTTCCTCTCATCTGTCAGTAATCAAGTATACAAGCCTTTCAATTCACTTTGCAGCTTATTTTAATGAAAGAATCATAGAATCATTAAGGTTGG